ACAAGTACATTATTCACTATATTTTCTAGGTTATGAATCTCTGCTTATTATAGAAAGATACCTATAATTGACTTTTAAGTGACATGTACCATTGTATAGTAGTCGAACTTTTTATTACTACTATTTTCCTACTATTCTGACTTATGCTCTATAAATAGGTATGTGGCAGATACATTCAAACTAAAGGTTAAGTCAGGAAAAACATATCTTCTCCGTATGATCAATGCTGCACTCAATGACGAGCTTTTCTTTAGAATTGCAAATCATACTCTCACAGTAGTAGATGCTGATGCAGTATACATTAAACCTTTTGAGACTGACACAATACTTATAACACCAGGACAGACCACAAATGTTCTTCTAAAAACCAAATCTGAATACCCTAGTGCCACTTTTCTCATGACTGCTAGATGACACTTCCTTTGCTACCAATTTTAGTAAGAAACTCCATAGTTTGGCAAATTCTCAATTTCCTGCTAAGGTCCCTTAAAATATTGACAAACATTTCTTTTTCACAGTAGGCCTTGGCACAACTCCTTGTGACAAAAATTAAACTTGTCAAGGTCCTACTAATACAACCAAATTTGCAGCGTCGATTAATAATATATCATTTGTACAACCTACAACTGCACTACTCCAATCTCATTTCATTGTACAATCAAATGGTGTTTACAGCCCTTATTTTCCTATTAATCCTTTGCATTGGTTCAATTATACCGGAAATCCTCCAAATAACACAATGGTTAACAATGGTACTAAAGTTTTGGTACTTCCTTTTAATACAAATGTTGAGTTAATCATGCAAGATACAAGTATTCTTGGTGCTGAAAGCCATCCTCTTCATCTTCATGGCTTCAATTTCTTTGTTGTTGGTTAAGGTTTTGGTAATTTTGACCCTAGTAAGGATCCTGCTAACTTCAATCTCATTGACCCTATTGAGAGGAACACCGTAGGTGTGCCATCTGGTGGATGGGTCGCTATTCGATTTTTAGCTGATAATCCAGTTGGTAGATTAAAATCTACAAAGTGATATTTTTATCCAGCAATGTTCCTAAGGCATGTTCATTATTGCTTTTCTGGCATTGTGTCTCCTGCCTCTGCCTGCACAAGCCATCACCAGACACTATGAGTTCAATGTATGATATTAAAAGTCCATTCTACTTATCTTACACCAAATGTTCATATTTTTTCTTACTTTTCCTAATATTTTTTCTTTTTAAATTTGAATCTTTAATGTAGATTACAATGGCAAATGTCACTAGATTGTGCCGTACTAAAAGTATAGTGACAGTCAATGGAAAATTCCCAGGGCCTCGTATTTTGGACAAGGGAGGGTGATCGTCTCCTTATAAAAGTCAATGACCTTGTTCCTAACAACATTTCCATTCATTGGTATAATCTTTGGGCCTTAATTAGATTCTACTACATTTGCTTCCTTACTACATAGATTAAACTTAATTTATACAATCCGTCTGTAGCAACATATCACCTGTCTTATTTTTAAGTCACTGATCTCACTTGTTAAGAATAACTACCTATAATTATCTTTTATGTGGCCTAATTAATTAGTAGATTAAAAGTTCTTTTACAGTACTATTTCATGGCCAAAGTTATGTATACAATTAGACAATTGTTGGTCAAGGAGGGACTTTGTTGTGGCATGCTCATATTTCATGGCTAAGATCTACTCTTTATGGCCCTCTAATTATCCTTCCAAAGAAAAAGTATCCTACCCTTTTGTCAAACCATTCAAGGAAGTTCCAATCATCTTAGGTACTCAATTAAACATCTACACATATAAAAATCAAATTAAATTTTATGATGCAAAATTACTCCGTCTACAATTATTCCTAATATTAGTTACGAAAATTAATTTCTCGATGTTCAGGAGAATGGTTCAATGCTGATCCTGAAGCCATCATTAGCCAAGCTTTTACAAAACTGGTGGAGGTCCAAATGTCTCTGATGCTTACACCATCAATGGCCTTCCCGGGCTTTTGTACAACTGCTATGCAAAAGGTACTTTTAACGTCTAATTTTTTTGTTCAACCATCATATTGTTTGTACTTTTTGCAGGTTATAAACAATTCATGAAAAAAAACGTAAGAAGAGCAGAACAATAAAGGAGAAGAAGAACTAACTTTTCAAATTATCAAAGATTTTCCCACTGGCATACAAGAGGAACAAAGCGATGAAGTTTGAATCAAGCAGACCCGTTCACCCGGAGACCAGGAACGGAGCATCGAAAACTCGCCGGCAATCTCGACTGAAAGCTTTACTGTTTCGACTGAGTTTGGATAGTGGTTGGACGCTGAAATTTCAGGTGTTTGGCTGGTTGTTTGGAGCTGATTTTCGCGTCGGTTTGAGGTGATTTTGGGGTTGTTTTGAGGAGGTATTTCAACTGGTTTCCTGGCAGCATTTTTGGGGGTGCTAAAGGGTCATTTTTGGGGCTGATTTAGAGATTAAGTTTGGAGGTGCTTCAATGGAGTTCTTGATGAAGTTTGAAGGCTGGTTTTTGGCGGAAGAAGCAGTGTGTTTCAGCTGCAATTTTGAAGCTGTTTTGGGGGCTATTCGGCAATGGGTGAGGTCTCTTAGATGATGGAGTTGCGCAGCTGCTCTCTTCTCTTGGGGTTGAGAGAGTCAGATGTTGAGAGAGAGGGCCGATTTTTGTGTCTGTCCGTTCTCCTCCCCTCAAGCTGCTGCGCCAGCTTTTTCTTTTTCCTCTTCCTTTTGGTGTTGCTAGGTTAGTCTTAAAGGGGGACCTGTTAGGGTTAAAATGAGGGGAAAGATTGGGCCATATAGGTTTGGGGCTTGGGTGTGTGGGAACTGGGCCTAAAAATTACAACCCCATTTTTCTATTTTTTTTTTTTTTTTTTTTTTTCAAATTTAGCCAACTTAATTGAACTCCTAATTACTCCTATTTTGCATTACTAAGCCACTAAAATTGTGAATCAATTTAACCTAATTAATTTAAACATGCAAAGAAAATGATTAATGTGGTATTATTTTTTGTGATTTTGGTGTTTTAAAAATGCAACTAAAAATACAATTAGATTAAAAATGCGAAAGTAAAAATATAACTTATTTTTGTTATTTTCATGATTTGAAATGCTACTAAGTATGAGAAAATTCCGAAATTTTCATAAAGGCAATTAAAACTATTTTAGAGTATTTTAGGCATGGGGCAAAAATTAGATACTCACACTACTAAAAAGGGAAGAAAAAATGTATCAAGCAAGAATTGATCTCTATTCCTTTCGGTAAATAATTCAACCTCCAACCAAGTACACCATTAAACATTCTTAGAGCATGTGTGCCAACAATTAATATCATACCAATTTTAGAAAATATATACTAAAATATTTAATTTTGCAAAAAGACCATGGGTTCACGTACCCCATAATTTTGCCTATAAATCCGTCCCGGTGCTAAGTTTATCGATGAACAAGTATATTATATGTTGGGTCAAATTAAGAAATCAACCCCATAAATGATTTAACTTGATAAAAAAGCATATGTAACATCAACAGCCCTATACTAGTGATAAATGTTGAGATCTGACTAGAGGTAGGGGCGTATCTACCTATTAGAGTATGGGTTCACGTGAACCCATGTTTTTTTCGCTAAATTATGTATACCAACGCTATATTTTTTTTCAAAATTACTTGAATATATGTGTGTGCACCCATGCTCAAGGACTCCTATGGTGCAATAATTATTGGGTGCACCTCTACAGGTGAAATTTGTGGTTCAAAACCTACTCCGGACGGTTTTGTTTTCGACATTGAGTATAGATATATATGTGAAAAGCAATAAAATTTCAAAAAGTATAAATTTTGAACCTATAATTTCAAAAGTTTAATGGGTCCACGGTAAGAGACTAAAGTTAAACCCGTCAAATAAACATTCTAGATCCATCTCTTTATAATACACTCATCCTTTTGAAATCCCGGATCCGCCTCTGACTAAAGGGTCTAGAAATGTATTACTACAGTAACACTTAATTACAACGATATGAGTCCTTACTGCAAGCAAGTTCTCGCAATCAATTATCTATTGTGTTTGGATGAAAATGCTAAAGAGGTATATTTTTACAAGGTTTGTTGGCCAAAAAGATTGACACGTTCGCATGATTCACAGCGTAATTGGTCAAAAGGTCTTTGAACATATGTACTTATGTAGTCCGTACTTCTTCTTTAGTATTTAGTGGGCATTTCGTCCCAATTAGTTTGACGCAGTTGGAATTTCGACAGTCAAACGAGTTTTTTTTTATCACGATTTTTTTATATAAATTTAAAATTATTTTGAGTTGTTACTTATTGTGACTTATAGTACTTTTTATGTAATTTTTAAATATTTAAAAGAAAAATTAAAAAACTTAAAAATTTTGTATCTGAATTCGCGATCAGAACTCAAGACTTTGACTTTTGAAATCCGAACTGTATCAATTTGAATTGAGACGAAGGAGTACTTTGCAAAATATTAGAGAAGGGTAAAAAATTGCACTAAAACCGTAGACGATAAATTTCACAAAGAGGAAAATTAAAACAGTGCAAAAGAAATTACAACCCCATGCACATGCAGTAGCTATCACCAGACAATGTTCCTAAGGCATGTTCATTATTGCTTTTCTGGCATTGTGTCTCCTGCCTCTGCCTGCACAAGCCATCACCAGACACTATGAGTTCAATGTATGATATTAAAAGTCCATTCTACTTATCTTACACCAAATGTTCATATTTTTCTTACTTTTCCTAATATTTTTTCTTTTTAAATTTGAATCTTTAATGTAGATTACAATGGCAAATGTCACTAGATTGTGCCGTACTAAAAGTATAGTGACAGTCAATGGAAAATTCCCAGGGCCTCGTATTGTGACAAGGGAGGGTGATCGTCTCCTTATAAAAGTCAATGACCTTGTTCCTAACAACATTTCCATTCATTGGTATAATCTTTGGGCCTTAATTAGATTCTACTACATTTGCTTCCTTACTACATAGATTAAACTTAATTTATACAATCCGTCTGTAGCAACATATCACCTGTCTTATTTTTTAAGTCACTGATCTCACTTGTTAAGAATAACTACCTATAATTATCTTTTATGTGGCCTAATTAATTAGTAGTATAAAAGTTCTTTTACAGTACTATTTCATGGCCAAAGTTATGTATACAATTAGACAATTGTTGGTCAAGGAGGGACTTTGTTGTGGCATGCTCATATTTCATGGCTAAGATCTACTCTTTATGGCCCTCTAATTATCCTTCCAAAGAAAAATGGATCCTACCCTTTTGTCAAACCATTCAAGGAAGTTCCAATCATCTTAGGTACTCAATTAAACATCTACACATATAAAATCAAATTAAATTTTATGATGCAAAATTACTCCGTCTACAATTATTCCTAATATTAGTTACGAAAATTAATTTCTCGATGTTCAGGAGAATGGTTCAATGCTGATCCTCAAGCCATCATTAGCCAAGCTTTACAAACTGGTGGAGGTCCAAATGTCTCTGATGCTTACACCATCAATGGCCTTCCCGGGCTTTTGTACAACTGCTATGCAAAAGGTACTTTTAACGTCTAATTTTTTTGTTCAACCATCATATTGTTTGTACTTTTTGCAGGTTATAACAAGTCATTATTCACTATATTTTCTAGGTTATGAATCTCTGCTTATTATAGAAAGATACATGTAATTGACTTTTAAGTGACATGTACCATTGTATAGTAGTCGAACTTTTTAGTACTACTATTTTCCACTATTCTGACTTATGCTCTATAAATGGTATGTGGCAGATACATTCAAACTAAAGGTTAAGCCAGGAAAAATTTATCTTCTCCGTATGATCAATGCTGCACTCAATGACGAGCTTTTCTTTAGCATTGCAAATCATACTCTTACAGTAGTCGATGCTGATGCAGTATACATTAAACCTTTTGAGACTGACACAATACTTATAACACCAGGACAGACCACAAATGTTCTTCTAAAAACCAAATCTGAATACCCTAGTGCCACTTTTCTCATGACTGCTAGACCCTATGTTACTGGCCAAGGCACTTTTGACAACTCCACTGTTGCTGGAATTCTTGAATATGAATCCCCAATTCAACATTCAACCAAATCAATCAAGCAACTTCTCATGTTCATACCTACTTTACCTCCTCTAAATGACACTTCCTTTGCTACCAATTTTAGTAAGAAACTCCGTAGTTTGGCAAGTTCTCAATTTTCTGCTAAGGTCCCTTAAAATGTTGACAAACATTTCTTTTTCACAGTAGGCCTTGGCACAACTCCTTGTGACAAAAATCAAACTTGTCAAGGTCCTACTAATACAACCAAATTTGCAGCATCGATTAATAATATATCATTTGTACAACCTACAACTGCACTACTCCAATCTCATTTCATTGGACAATCAAATGGTGTTTACAGCCCTTATTTTCCTATTAATCCTTTGCATTGGTTCAATTATACCGGAAATCCTCCAAATAACACAATGGTTAACAATGGTACTAAAGTTTTGGTACTTCCTTTTAATACAAGTGTTGAGTTAATCATGCAAGATACAAGTATTCTTGGTGCTGAAAGCCATCCTCTTCATCTTCATGGCTTCAATTTCTTTGTTGTTGGTCAAGGTTTTGGTAATTTTGACCCTAGTAAGGATCCTGCTAACTTCAATCACATTGACCCTGTTGAGAGGAACACCGTAGGTGTGCCATCTGGTGGATGGGTCGCTATTCGATTTTTAGCTGATAATCCAGGTTGGTAGATTAAATCACAAGTGATATTTTATACTAAATTTTCATTTGATAATATTTTGATCAAGTTATAATATGTATTAGTTAAGACTCAAGAATTTATACATTTGAATATAGGTGTTTGGTTCATGCATTGTCACTTGGAAGTGCATACAAGTTGGGGATTGAAGATGGCATGGCTTGTCTTAGATGGAAAGCTTCCCAATCAGAAATCCTTCCTCCTCCTTCTGATCTCCCAAAATGCTGATTTTATTGATTCCTTTTTCAAAACTGACCGTCAAGTCTCAAGCTTTTGCAATATCATTTCATGTTTTGATCTTTTTTTGTTTTTATGTGTTTTGAGTGTATCCTCTTTAACATTTACTTTTTGTAACTAACTGGCCTTTTCATGTCATGGTTTAAGGAGAGGATGAAAGATTGACTCTATTTTGTAGTTGTTTTTACGACTATTGCATTTTATATGCAAGTAAGAATAAATGGTTTCTTATCCCAAATCTTTATTAATCTTAGATTATTCTCTGGCTTATGAGGTATCGATATTTGGCTTTGAACATCTAGCAACTGTTTTTGTCACGACCTAAAACTCAACATATCGTGATGGTACCTATCATGTTACTAGAAAAGCCTACAACTTAGACACTTCTAACACTTTCAAACTTAGAATATATTAAAACAGGTTTTAAATAAATAAGAAATCTCATAAACCGAATAAAACTGCCACACTCGATATATAAGTTTCCTAAAATCAGGGTGTTACTGAGTACATGAGCATCTATATAGCATAAGTCTGAAATACTATCTAAGAAAACTGAAGCTGAACAAATAAGACTGAGGGATAGGGGAGGAGAGTCAAGGTCTGCGGATGTCAGGGCGGCTACCTCGAATATCTCCGAATGACAGTAAACTCTGAGAATCAACAATCACCGTGTCTGAAAATACCTAGATCTGCACATAAAGTGCAGAGTGTAGCGTGAGCACAACCAACTCAGTAAGTAACAAGTCTAACTATTGGGCTGAAAGTAGTAACGAGCTTCATATGTACGGTTCAATTATAGAATTATAGTACAGAAATGCAGGGATGCTTCCAAGTTCAACAGTTAAAGCCCAAACAGGTAAATCATGTCAAGCTCAATTGAAACAAGATATGGTACATCTCAGTATCTACATGTTAGTTATTTATGCCAACTGAAGTACAAAACAGTAATGGAATCATATGCATACTCTCAGAGTATCAGCCGCTCAGTCCTCACATTCACTCCATCCTCACAGTCACTCGTTCCTCACAATCACTACATCCTCCCAATCGCTCGGCACACGCGCTTGGCATTCGCACTCGCACTCAGTAGGTACTTGTGCTCACTGTAGATGTGCAGACTCCAGAGGGGCAATTCCAGCCCAAGCGCTATAATAACCCAATCATGACATGAATCAAATAAACATGGTGAGGCGTGTAGCCCGATCATATAAATATCCTCACAATCAGGCCCTTGGCCTCACTCAGTCATCAATCTCTCTAGTCTCTCGGGCTCACAAGAATCATGATAATCAGCCCAAACAATGATGATATAATGTATCAATAAAGGAAAACAGAGACTGAGATATAATATGCAAATAATAGCTGTGACTGAGTACAAAATTACAAATTAAGCAAATAATTCAACATGTAACACGACCTCTGTAGGTCCCAACAGTACCAACACGTAGCCTAAGCATGATTTCTAACATGATTGGAAGCTCAATTTCTCTAACACATGGTGAAAATACGGATAACGACAAGATTAATCAACTATACAGTTCCATGGAATCGACCGAGTCATAATTCTTATGGTGCACGCCCACACGCCCTTTACCTAGCATGTGCGTCACCTCAACACCAATCGCATAGCACGTAATTTGGGGTTTCATACCCTCAGAACTAAGTTTAGAAGTGTTACTTACCTCAAGTTGTGCAAATCTCTACTCCAACAAGCCCTTGCCTCGCGAAATGTCCTCTGAATGACTCGAATCTAGCCACAAACAATTCGATACGATCAACTCAAGCTATAGGAATCAATTTCATATAAAAAGCTAAGTTCCTAATCTAAAGTCAAAAAGTCAACTCAAAGTCAACCCCCTGGGCCTATGTCTCGAAATCCGATGAAAGTTACAAAATCCGGACACCCATTCAATCACGAGTCCAACCATATCAAAATTACTCAAATTCGATACCAAAATCTCGCTCAAATCCCCAAAATTCAGCCTAAGGAGTTTCCTTCATTCTCCCCAATTTTTCAACCCATCACTAATTAGATGGTGAAATCAAAGATATAATCACGGAATCAAACTAGGAAGAATCACTTACCTCAATTACTCCCTTAAATCTCTCCAAGAATCCCCTCCAACCGAGCTCCCAAAATCAAAATTTGTAAAATGTCTCAAACCCTCATTTTTGAAATATTTAGGTTCTGCCCAGATGTTACACCTCATATTTTCTTACGTGAGAGCATGTCGTAAGTTAATTGATGTAAGCTCAGAAATGAGACCGTCTTTGAAAGTACATAAAGTAAGTTAATAACGTTACCTTGAAGGTTACAAATCTTTAAGATCATGAATAACAAGTACTAAGAAAAAATAAGTTTCGTCGAAAGTCGATAAGTTTGGAATGTTATAACATGCACTTTGGGGTGAGACTAGGGTTATTAACATAATAACGAGGTTATTTTATAAGTTATTTTGGGCTTATGATAGTCGTGCGTTATGTTTTGAAGTCAAGCGAGTTGTGGAACAAAAGTTGGCAAAGGTCATCACAAGTTACATTCATAAATATGCTGAAATTAGGTCTAAAGTAGTGGAGCTTTTATCCCAATACAATTGGAATTACGTGATGATCCACATATCAAATTGAAGATCTACGATTCTAGTTTCTAACATATTATACCGTTCATTGATACGACATAGGAGTAGGGAGATATTTGCAGTTTCGCTAGACTGCGCAGACTGCATAGGTGACAAGTAGTTGTGTCACTGAAGCTTTTTGAGCAATACATTTCGTGTGTTATATGAGGTCTTTTTGGGAATTATTATATACCAAATTGAAGGTATTGAAATTTAGTTTCCAACACTCTTAACCGTTTGTTCATACAATATCCGGATAAAAATATATAAGCGTCGGAAGATGGGTCAATGCTAGGATGCCAAGCTAGCACCTCTTTGACTTTTCCAAAGTTGATATATATAGGTCTTAGGCCGTCATTATCTTCATTTTTACATACAACACGACCAGAAAACATCCCTAAACATATCCATAAGCTCTCTTCTAGGGTTTCAAAGAAGATTAACATCCCGGATACGAAATCAAGAAGCGATAACATTAGAACGATCCCTACGACGTAAGTATCGCTATATTGCCTCTCTTTCTCTTTGTAGTTTTAGTTTTGGAAGTTACTTATTAGTTAAGAAAATGTCTACTTTCTGTATTTAAGCTTTAAATATCAAGGAAGGTTGATAAATTCATTTCCTAATAGTTAGAACTCATGGGACAGCGATCGGAAGCCATGAGTTCAATTTATTTCACTTTTAGTGGACTGTTTTGTAGTCCACTCGTGTTGGCCTATTGTGCTACTGATTATTGAGTTTGGAAGGATGAAGGGCACGGAGAACACCACATGTGGTAGGGTAGTAGGTTGGTCGCTTGTCGTTGCAATTTCAGGCTAATTAATAACTTGTTGATTGGGTGTGTTATGGTATATTTGGGATTTTTGTTGTATTGAAGGTCCCGAATTGTAGTTGGGTTATTGTTGAGTTGCTGATTGTATTGTGTTTGTATCTCGCCTATTGTAGGCTCGAGGGAGCAGTAAAATTAAGGAAAATGTTGCCCATTTTATTTTAGAATCGAGTTATTATTTGAGAACGTGATATACTAGCGCCATCTAAGTTGTACATGTATTTCTTTTTTATAAGGTTGGCGCGCTAGTTGTCATGAGCTTGTTGTTGATGTTGCTCTTATTGTATTGCTCTGGTTGTTGTTTTTAGTATCTAGAATTGGATGAGGACCTTGTTACAGGGGAGATGTTGCCCACATTTACATAAACGAGCTACTAGTTTATGTTGCGGACTTAGCCTTTACTCAGCACTGATTTTGAATCGCCTTATGCTATGGTAGATTGAGTTGAGTTGTTTGATGAATTGCTTGGAAGGTAATAAGGACTTTAATGGAGTTAAGGTATGTTAAGGTTATCCCTTCTTTCCTTTTGGCATAATCCATATGATACAAACGAAACGAGCAAATGCGGAACTTTCACAAATGACTCTTTCTTAGAAGTACTAGGGATGCCTATGTTCTTGATTCCCCATGTGTCCTATTATTATATCGTCTGTTCATAGGTCTCAGAAAATACATAAGTTGATAAAGTTTATTTCATGATATTGACCGAAGGCATATTGATCGTATGATATCCCAAGAGATCTTATTGACTTACTTCTTATGCATTGCGTTCATTTATACATGTACATTGACCCATGACTAAATGGCGTAATATACACGTATAATATATGTATATGGGGTATGGAGAAGGGTTATAGTGTTATACACGCACCACCACCTAATCATCTGGTATACGATGATGATTTCGCCCATAGAGGCTGAGATGATATGATGGGATGCCCTCAAAAGCTTGATGACATTATGTACGCATATACCTATGCATGATATGACATTTATACGCATATGCATGACATTCTAAACGTTTCATGATTCACAGAGCTATTCTGACTTACAGGTTGAGTTCTTTACTCCATGTTTCTTTCATGTCTTTTATATACTGGTTTCATGCCTTAAATACTCGGTACTTTATTTGTACTGATGTCCCTTTTGCTTGGGATGCTGAGTTTCATGCCCGCAGGTCCCGATAGACAGGTTGACAGTCGTCCTAGTAGGCTATCAGCTAAGCGGAAGGTGTTGGTGCACTCCACTTGCTCTGGAGTTGCCTATTTGGTCAGTATGATTTGGACATGTATTGAGTGGTATAATGGGGCCCTATCTCGACCTTTATGACATTTATGTACTCTAGAGGCTCTTAGACATATGTTAGGTATATGGATACTTGTATGGCCTTGTCGGCCTATGTTTTGAGTTTACAAATGATCATGTCAGCCTTATAGGTGCGTATGTCACAAGTATAAGTTTCTATATCATGTTAGGTCATCATATGTCTAGTATTCCCTTATGTTTTATTCTGGTTATCTCATGAAAGCCCTTTTGGCCCATTT